TTTTCCAGGGGTCGATGATGGATCGGCCAGCCAGAACCACGCTATTGGGCGCGTTTCCTGCTGTTGCCCGCGCGGAACCAGGCGGCAGGCGGTGATGGTGTTGGTCCCTTTTTGGAGCGCCATCTGCCGCTGGAAAGCGAGCTCCTCCCGCCTCAACCGCTGCGCCGAGCTGACGGGTAGAGCCCCTGCGTTGGTATGGGACCGCGCCGCCGCTGCTCCCTTACGTTGCCCCCCCCCCTCCGGTCCTGCTCGTATCTCTGTCGCAAGTCGAAGTTGGACAGGTCGACCGTCCGGGCGTCCCTTCCCTTCGCGAACGAGCCACCGTGCTCGCTGAGTTGGTGGGCCTTAAGGTCCATGTAGGAGTACGAGGGGGGACAAGGGGAACAACCCCAAGGTCACACCGGCCATCACCATGGCTCTCCTCCCATTAAGCATAACTGATTAAGCATAACTAAAAGTCTGGGGAGCTGTATGGGGATAGTAAAAGTCGCGTTGCAATCCCAAGCTACAACGTTACCTAGGTAACTATAGCCCAGTTAATGACCGTAATTTACCACTTGTTTGATTCCATGACCCTGATAAACCACGAGAACGAAGGGAAAAGAAGCGGGTCTTGTTATACCCATGTAACACAGCTTCTAGGGTATTATATCGGTGCACATATGATAATAGTAAGTACAACAGCACCTAACACCAAGCAAGCAAGTTAAGTCGCCGTGCCAACTCCGACACTACGCCGCCGCCCCTCCCGCACGGGTTCCACGATGAGGCGGAGCGGTCTGCAGCTTTGCCGCCGTCTCGTCCCCAGCCGTCTTGAGGCGGTACTTTAGAAGCGCGGCCAGGCCCTTCAGAATCTCCATCTCGGACGACCCGGGCTGGGCCTGCCCGACCCCGTCCCGGTACCGGTTCGTAAACTGGTACACCACCGTCGCCAGCTTGGCCAGCTCCCCAAGCACATGCACCATCAGCTGGTCCTCCTTCTGCCCACACCGGGCGAGCGCGTCGCCGCCAGGCCCGCAAAAGGACGGCAGCACGTCGTCCCACAGCAGCCCCAACCCGCCATTGCCACAACCACCACCGCCGTCCACAGCAGAGGAGTCGTTCGACAGGATGGCCATCAGCGGCGACTGCTGTTGTTGGCTGACGGTAATCGCGCACAGGGGCGGCGGGCGGGCGGTGAAGCGGCTGACGATGGCGCCGTACAGGTCGAGGATCGACAGGCAGGCGGCGCTCAGCATGATGCCCGTCTCGAGCCTCTCGGAGCAGGGGCAAATCAAGATCGTTGACATGCGTCGCATGGCCGCCCCCGCCGTCTGCAGGGCCGTTTCGGCAGCCTGCACGACCTCGGCGGTCCACGGACCGCTCGGGTGCGCGTGTGTCGCTGTCGAGCTCACCCTGCCGATTGCCGACTCCAGCTGCCGTTGCGTAACCATGGCGAGCTCGACACAGTCAGACTCGCAGTCGCTAGCGGTGGTTGGAGCCGTTGAGGGTGCCAAGGAGGACGAGACTGCGGAGATTGCGGAGGCTGCGGAGGAGGAGGAGGAGGAGGAAAAGCCAGAGCCGGCAGAGATAGACTCTGAAGAATTGCCAGGGCGCTGACGTGAGCGAATTGGGGGCGTAAGCGGCCCGAGACGCGGAGGCGTGCCCAACGGAGAGGGGAAGGCTGCCGAATCTCGACGGTCGACGGCTCCCGAATTTTGCCGGCTTCTGGGCGAGACTGGCGCGACCGGGTACGCCGACTGCTGCTGGGGTGAGACACTCTGCGTGTTTAATTCGGCCCCGCCGGTTGCTGAATCACGTCGAGCTTTCGGCTGCCTGGTATTGCGTCCCTGTGGCCGCCCGACGCGCCGGGCGGGGCTGTAGAAGCACGGATAGGCCAGCTTATCGCACCGCCCGCAGATTGGCTTCTGTCTGTCGCAGCGGACCTTGGATGCCGAGCACATGTCACAGGAGTCCTTCAACCTCCGTGACTGCCTGTCAAGAGCCCAGGTCGGCTGGTGATAACGATAATCGCGAGATCCGTCCATCGTTGCGGTCTATGGCGAGGAAAGGGGGCTAACGTTGGATGACGGCTTGTCAGGCGAGTGTTTGCTGCTCCTCGTCGTCACTGTCTCCGTTCTCGTTGGTGAGCGCGTAATACTGTATTGGGGAGGCGGTCCGAGAAGCAGATGAGATCATGGGTGCCAGGGACTTAAAGCCGACCGGGGATGTCCACGAGACGGAGGTGTAGCTTGATATTTAGCCGAATGCAAACGTCGGTGGCGTTTTCCAAGTTGGCTGCTTCCGCAGGAGTTCTGCTTGATCGAGCAAAATAACTTGTCATTAAGATAACCGGGGAGGGGGTGCCACGGCGCAATTCAGTCCCCCCTGGCTACGACGCTGACATGCAGCTACCATGCGGCCCGCGTGGGGGCCTGTTCTTGCGGAGGGTGCCTACTCTTGTATGGTAAGCAAACGACACGCACTGACGCACATGGTCGATACGCGAACGCTCACACACCTGAACAAGGCCGAGGTCACTATCCTCTCAGTTCCAGGGCAGGGGGGGAAGACGCCACTTACTCCGAAGCAATCATCCGCCTTTCCGCAAACGAACTCGTGAACCTTGCCAGTACTGGCACCCCTCGATACCAGCGTCCGTTCCGATCCGCCGCCGTTGGAGATGGCGATGCGGGTGTGGCAACCTGGGTCCTGGGGTGAACATCCGCCGACTCGCCGACGGGTATTAGTACGAGTACATCGCCAAGACCACTCCCTCTCGGTTCTAACCCCTCGCAGGCTTCCCGTTCATGCCCTCTCTCTCCCTAGCTAGTGCCTTGCACCGCCGAGCCTTTACCACCCCGCGATGGAGTGGAGTTCGTATCCTGAGCTAGCCCAAACCCTCGGAAGCAGCAACCAGGGTCTAGCGCTCTTCAATATCGACCCGTCTGGTACCGTGGGCTCGTCTCCCGACGGCGGCGATGACTCCGGGTTCCTGCTCGGGACCACGGCGTCTGAGTTGTCCGGTCTTCTCGCCGATTCTGCCCCGCCTTCATTGGGCTCCCTCTCCGACATGCTAGCCTGGGAGTCTTGGGATGTCGGGGGCTTTGGGACCAACGCCATGGCGGCAACGACGCCCCCGTCCGATTCGGAGACCATGCCAATGGGTAGCGGCTTTTCAGTCAACAAAAAGTCCGGCGCCAGTCCAAGCGGCGTTGTTGACGTAGCCACGCGGCGCTGCCCCAACTCAAGCAATACCTGCATGACGGCGGTTGCCGGCGCCATTAGCGCGTTGCACACATGTGCCGAGATGTGCCTGTCGTCGTTCTCGGCATCTTCGCTGTCGCCATCGTCGTCTGAATCCGGCTTGGCCTGCACCACCAATACCAACAGCAGTGGCACCAGCAACAAGCAAACTCATCCCCTCCGGGCCGCGCAGCATCGATGCTGTGTTGACCTCTAGCCGGGAAGCCACGCGCGCCATCGAGGCCCACTCTCGAATGCAGCGTCTGCTCCTCGCAGCCGCAGCTGCACCTCCTCGTAGCGACAGCGCTCGAGAAGCTGGCGGGCTGGTACCGTACCGTAGCCGAGGGGCTGCGCGCGCAGGGCACGGTCCAGACGTCGGCATCCTCGTCCTCATTATCCTCGCTGTCGTCGTCATCGACAGCAGCGACAACAACAAAACCAGCAAAATCACCAACAAGACACCCCCAACCACCACCATCCCCCCCATCATCCGCCACCACAACCACCCGTCCCCTCAACCTCAACCCACACCACCACAACCAGCAACCCACCTTACCCCCCATCGCCATCGGCAGCCACGCCATCCTAGACGAATCCATCCAAGCCGCCATAGTCGCCCAGGTAGTGCTGCAGCGGCTGCGGGAGTTGCGCGGGCTCGTCGAGCTGCTGGTGCGGCGCATGGGCGGTGAAGGGAAGGAAGGTGGGCTGGCCGAGACGTTGCCGCCGCCACCGTCTGACGCACAGCAGCAGCGGTTGTTGCCTGAGGTAGTTCGCGAGAGGTTGGTGGGACGGGTGCGTAGGTGTTTGGTGGCGGTGGGGGAGGAGCTGGAAGTTGAGCTTGGGGGGGTTGGGGTTGGTGGTGGTGGTGGTGGTGTTGGTGGGGGGAGTGGGAGATGGGAGGTGGGTGGGGGTGGGGGGTTGTGTTGGGGGGGAGAATAAGAAAAGGAGACGGCGTGATAGAAGGAGAGAGCGGGTTGTTGGGTTTTGTTCACGTTTGGTGCTCATGTAGGGAGGCGATGGCTTCATGTACATCGTGCTCGCGGTGTGTGTTGGAGGCGCAGGCGGTTGTACGAATACCGTAAACATACTGGTCGCATGGGCATTAGAGGGAGCATGCCGTCTGGCGACGGGGATTATGGTATAGCATACTAGGTGTCTATCGCGTTGTTATTAATTTGATTTTATGTTACATGGGGGCCTTTCTGTTTCCGCTAACCTGTACGTACATACATACATTCCAAACCTACTCAAGCAGGGATCGGCTCCTCCCTTTCCCTGGTCGTGGCACCGGCGGTGTCGGCCCCGCGCATCTTGGCCAGAAGAATGGCGGCCTCGTGGGAGTATTTGCACTTCATCCTTATTGCCGCACCGTACTTGTACGCCAGAAACGGGAAGGGCATGCAGGCGACAGTCAAGAAAGCCGGGATGGAGCTGGCCCAGTGGATGCCGAGGTTTGTGTACATCTTGCCCACAAACAACGGGAACGCCGTGGCGAATAGAGACCGAAGGATGGCACCGGCGGCCAAAACTGACGCAGCATAGATGGTGTAAGCATCCAGTAGGTAATTAAGACAGGAAAGGAAAACTAGCACACAGCCAAAACCAAAAGGGGCCGAGAGGATAAGGCTGGCCGACCAGTGGATGCTAGGCGCGTTGGTCCAGGCAAAAGCGAACATGGACGCGGGCAAGACCAGGGCGCCGATCAAAGACGGGGGTAGGCGTGATTCGGGCGTGGCGTCGCTACCCAGCTTTTGGTAGCGGCGGTTATCGTAGATGGTGTAAATCAAGCCCATGATCATACCGACGGCGAGGCCGAGGAAGGCAAGACCCCCGATGCCCTCGCTCCATCCGCGGATATCCTGGTACACGATGGGGAAGGCGCCAAGGAACATGTAGATAATGCCGTAGAGGATGGCGAGGTAGATGGCCGAGATGAGCACGATGGGTTCCAGGAAGAGCAGCACCCAAGGGCGCTTGAGGGCACGGCCAAAGACCTCGGCCGGCGTCGCGCTGTTGTTCTGGGCGGCCAGAACGCTGATGTGGAGGGTGCCCGTCTCGCGCGATAGAGCATCAGCTCGTCTCCGTAGGATCACGGGGCCGTACGTCTCGGGCAATAAGAGAGAGCCGGCAATCCACACGACGCCAATGAAGATGCTGCAGACGCCGTGAACCCAACGCCAGCCAACGTTCATGGTGATGAAGCCACCGATGACAGGACCCAACACGGGGCCCATGAAGGGCGCGGCAGCAAATATGGTCATGGCTAAGCCCCGCTGGGCAGGCGGGAATAGATCGGCGATGACACCACCGGAGTTGGTCATGGGCGAGGCTCCGAAGGTGCCAGCCAGGAAGCGGAAGACCAATAGCTGGGCCATCGAGGTACATCCGGCCGAGGCAGCAACAAAGGTAACAACGAGGGCATGAGTGGTGATGAATAGGATCTGGCGGCCGTATAACTCGGAGAGGGGTGCCCAAAACGCGGGACCAATCGCGAAACCCAGCACGAACAGTGACACACCCAGGGCGAACACCTCCGGGCTGGAATCAAACTCGGCCATGACCTGAGCAGCCGACGAAGAGTAGGCCGACGAGGTGAGAGTGATGGCGAGGATGGAAATGGTGACGATGAAAGTGATGAACCATTTCCTGGCGGGCGTGAAGTTCATTGGGTTGGTCGGGTCTCCGGGGGTGAATTCGACAAGAAAATGAGGATTTTGTTCCACATTGGTTGGCGACATTATCAACGTCCCCGGTTTCCTCTCCCTTTTTGGCGTTTCCCCTCGAGATTTAGCGTCGCCGTCGTCATCGATGCCGGAAATCGCTTGGGGTTCATCTTGCTGTTCTGGAGGTTGGTTGATTTGTTCAAGTGCCATTTTTTTCGATGGGGGTAATCCGGTTCAGGGCACTTACTGACTGTAGACAAGAAAATGAAACAATGAAAAAGTGTTGTTGGCCATGCTAATATATCAATTCGAGTTTGGTGTTTTTTTCCGTCGCAAGGCCTGCTGATTTCCTTTTGCTTTACGGATTGCTTGGCGATTCCAACTCGTCACTTACACGCAACATCGATGGATTCGTACCTGAAATGGCAATGCAAGTTCTCGCCAATCATCAGCCATCCCGTTCCACCAAGATCAACTTTCCCTGTCGGTGCTCGGCAGCAAAAGAGGTGAGAGTGCAAGGCTTCTGCAAGTCGTGGGGCGATCTGTACCACCCCACAAAAAAGTCACCAACCAGAGCCAAATCCGCCGCTTTCCGCCAAGCTTTCCGCCAAGCTTCCGCTCCCGACTGAAACCCTAGCATTCCGCCAGTTCCGGTCCCCATTTCCCCGCCTCATTCATTCCGCCGCTCCCGCCGCCAGATGGATCCCGCTGCTAGATCCCGATAGCTTCCCGCGAGGTGGTCTTCCCGCTGTGTTACTGTTCCTTCCCGCTGCTCCACCCCTTTTGCGGCCAGCCACCCACTGCCCTACCATTCTTCCTAGCAGCAAACGGCTTGCCATGTCTAACACGAGATTACCGGACCGGCTGGGCCCCAAGAGGCTGAAGATTGCCATTGCTTGTGATAGCTGTCGAACAAGCAAGAAAAAGTGCGATGGCGCACGCCCAGGTAGGCAGGCACGACTCACAAACGCACAAACTGTGATTTCAAGAATTTGACTTTATTAGTGATTTTTATTTTATTTTATATTTTATCTCATCTCGATTCTTTCTTACCCTCTTTCCATCTTGCAATGGCCTGGACGATCTGACCACACCACAACTAACACTCCGGCGTGCCATTCAGCGTGCAACCAGTGCCAGAGGAAACGCACCCCTTGTTCCTACCGGAACGACTCAGTCGGGGTTGATGTGGCCGCCCATGCCCACGAGCCCAATGCCACGGTTACTGCGAGTTCAGCGATCCGCCATGTGCCGCCTGTCAATAAACACTTACACGCAGCTCTGCCGGGCCAAGCTTTGCTTCCCGATGCCGAGCCGCCGGACCCTGACGGGACCCAGTCCACCGATCCCCCGCCCGGAGCTGTCCACGGCGTTTTTGCCGTCGAAGTCAAGGCAGCCCTCGATGCAAAAATGGGCATTCCCCCCGCCGGCAGAAAGACCATCAGTTTGACCCCGATGAAAGACGCCCCGTTGTTTGACTTGCGACTCGGCCGCGAACCGGGCGACGACACTGTCGAAAGCAGCAGTGTGCTGCCCCAACGGAGACATGCCGATCATTTAATGGATCTGTTTTGGCAGCATATTCAGCCCATTGAACCCATCCTCGAACAGGCCCTCTTCAGTCGCTCTTATGACGCACTGTTTGCCGGTCGCCCGCTGCCCGGCGGCGCCGACGAGCGCCTCTTTTTAAGCACTCTCAACGTCGTCTTCGCCCTAGCCACCCAACTCCGGGAAGGCCTGCCCGCCGACGAGAGGAATATGGCCGCCAACACCTACTTCCGCCGCGCCCAGGCCATGCTTCGTGTCGAGGCTGCTTTGTGGGAGCCCGGCTCCCTCGAGGTTGTCCAGTGCCTGCTTCTCATGGCCCGTTACCTGCAGTGCTCCAGTCACCTGCACCAAACGTGGATGACCGTGGGAATTGCCGTCCGCATCGCTCAGAGCATCGGCCTCGATAGGCCCAACTCGCCCCCGACCGATTGCCTAAGTAGAGTGCCACGTCATTTCAGAGAGCAGTTGTGGCAATGCTGTGTCTATGTCGACAGGTAAGAGCAAAATTGGAGTCGATGGTGCTGGCGGCGCGACTGACGACGCCACTAGGATGGTTTCTTGGATGATGGGCCGGGCGCCGATGGTGTTGCTGCACGGTCTGCCGCATCGCGCCGCCAAGGTAGACAATAATACCCAGGGAAGCGATCAGACTGCTGCCTACCTCACCAAAACCATGGAACTATACGAAATCTCCAATCACATTTCCTTCTCCCATCTTCCCCTTCGCAGCAGCATTCCGGATCACCTTGGCCTCCCGCCCTTGTACCGTATTGAGGACCACTTCAGCAATGTATCGAGATACGATGCCTGTCTGGACAGATGGGCCGACGCCTTACCCCAGTCTCTACGATACAGCCATATCGATCGCCGTGCCCATCCCAACTCTTATAAACAGGCGCTAATTCTTCATCTACGGTGAGATACTCACATAACGCCATACTATCTTCGCACAGGCATGAAGGACTAACCTCGCTCGCACGCCAGCTTTCTCCACGGCCGTGTCACCCTCTTACGGCCCATGCTAGCCCGCCACTGCCTCTCGCGCATCCCGTCCGCCCCAAGTGACAGCACTGCCGATAGGAGTGGAAGTCTGAGTCCACACATCGTACAGGACTGCGCTGCCCTCTGCGTGGAGAACGCACAAAAGGTGATCGCGCTTATCGTAAATGAATGCTCTGCCACGGGATACCCCGACGCCCCTGTTGGGGGGCCAGCAGGCAACGTCGGCTCCGGCCCCAGTGGTGCAATTCCCTGGTGGTACCGCGTTTTCTATCTGCACGTCGCCGGCATCGTACTCATGGCTGCCACCTTGCAGCCCAACCTCTGCACGCCGACCGTGTCTGAATCGTGGGCCCGCGCCATGGCCGCTTTGCGCGCCCACGAACACCTGAGCCCGTTTGTGTCACAATGCCTGGCGACCTTCGAAACGTTGTCGGCGGGCATGAGCACCCAGCAAGAGCCTCCCCAATGTGTTCCTCCAGTGGCAGAGGAGGGAACACCTGGGAATTTGGATAGCGCCTCGGTGCCGCCACTTCACGATGTATTGTTTCAAGATATAGCGTTTGAAACCGAAGCCATGTTTTTTGGTATGGAGGACAACTCTTGGGTCAGTCACTTCGCTCTACCGCCGTAACAATAGATGGATTCGTGCCAGGTAGAAGGCGCTTGCGAAACAGGTATAAACCGGCGCAGGGGAGTCCATCATCCATGTCGTTGCTGGATACCACACACGAATAGAGCAACCCCAAAATCTTCATTCCTCAGCAACAAACCTCCGGGGCCGGCTTACACCCCACAAAGAAATTGCCCGAGGGTGGCCTCCCTGAATTGTCCGACAGGGAGGATCGGTCATATTTCCGGGGTTCGATGCGGCTGCAGTATCGGCACTATCGGCAGCGGCGGCACGGCACGTTTTCATGCACCGCCGATCACGAACTATCCGGGGTAGGACCTTGGAGAGACAGCGCCCCAGGCGTATTGCGGCATTGGCTTACTGTTCATAATCTGCAGACTGGTATCTGACCGTATCATCCTTGACATGCAACACAGTGTGACATGATTCGCATGAAAAGGGAAAGACGCCCGGGAGCTCACTCTTGAGAGTTGAGAAGGAACTGTTTTGGGACGGCGGCCACTCTTTCAGAGTTATTCCATTCCTCATCTCAAAGATCATGGACGAATCAGTCTCCACCAAACACTTACTCCTGTTTGGGGATTACTCGGTGGAGAAGCTCCCAGCCATCAAAGCTCTAGCTCAGCATGCAAGGACGACACCCGCCGCCGAAAGATTCCTTCGCGAAATTACCGCCGTAATCCAGCTCGAGTTTAGCAGAGCCGACAGAGCCATCCATGGCTGGGACAGGGGGTGCGGCTCTCTGCTCGAAATGGCAGAGGCCGTGGACAGCCCGGGCGGCAACAACCTCGCCGTTTCTACCGTGCTGTTGTGTGCCGGAAGACTAGGCCAGCTGATAGTGTAATGGACAACCCGCTATCGTCTGCGTGCTACACTCACTGATTTTACCTTCTTTCAAAGACATGCCGATGCAGACCCAACCATTCTCGGCTCACCTACCAACCCCGTCGACATCATCGGTTTCTGTGGCGGTCTACTGCCCGCCGCCGTAGCTCTGGCGGCACACGACACAAGTCAGCTTTTTGCTCTCGGTCGCGAAATCGTCTCGATCAGCTTCAGGTTGGCTTGTGAAGTGGCCCAGCGAAAGGGGTTGATTGATGCTACGCCAACGAGCTGGGGGAAAACATACGTCGGTCTCGCAACTGACCATGTCCAAGATATACTCGACAAATTTCACGAGAGCCAGGTTCGTGGGCATAACACTTCATGTTCTATCACTCGCAGTTATAGACAAGCCGGTGCTAACATGGGACGTAGAACATCCCGAAATTTCGCAGGATTACCATCGGTGTTGTTGCACAGGGTTGGCTGACGCTAATCGGGCCGCCGTCGTCGATGGCCGAGTTGACCTCATGGTCCCCCGTAATACAGGCTGCTGCGGGTATCAAGACAGATGTGGACGGCCCCATGCATAGTTGCTGGTCACCCAAGGTAGACGCAGCCAAAATTGTAGGGAACTCGACACTCCTTCAGCAACCCCTGAATCCGGCCAAGGCACGGATGCTGTCACCCGCTGGCTCGTGTGTAAAGTACGACCACCCAACTCTAGCTTTGCTCCTCGAAGAAATTGTCGAGGACGTTGCCCACAAGCCGCTTCACATTACGGATACAATCAAGGAGACTGTGGCTGGTTTGCATGGCGCCGATCACGTCACGCTCTCCGTTATGGGCCCAACAAACCACCAAGCTGCCGCCACGCAAGCTCTGAAAGCCTCTGGAATCAAATACGAGGTCAAGCAAGCCAGCAAAGAAACAACCGAGGATGGTGGAACCAACGACCGCGGCGATTCAGGCCTCGTCGCCATCGTAGGCATGGCCGGTAGGTTCCCCGGCAGTGACACCGTCGAAGGATTTTGGGAGGACCTCCTAGACGGGAAATGTCACATCAAAGAGGTATGCCGCTATAACAACACCACGATCCGCCACCTTATGTTCCGTTTTCCGAGCTAACAATCTCCCCAGATCCCCCCTTCCCGCTTCGACATCTCAGCCTACTACGACCCAACCGCCACGAAGCCCAACTCGACCACCGCCCGCCACGGCACCTTCCTTAACTCCCCCGGCCTCTTCGACCACCGCCTCTTCAACCTCTCCCCGCGCGAAGCCGCCCAAGCCGACCCCGGCCACCGCCTACTTCTCACCACCGCCTACGAAGCCCTCCAATCCGCCGGCTACCACCCCGGAACCAGCTCTCCCACCGACCCCACCGCCACCACCCCCAACGGCGCGCGCGTCGCCACCTACTTCGGCCAGGCCGCCGACGAGTGGCGCGAGGTGCTCAACCAGCGCGGCGCCGACATCTACTACGTGCCCGGCTTCAGCCGCGCCTTCGCGCCCTCCCGCATCAGCCACCACTTCGGCTTCGGCGGCGGCTCCTACGCTCTCGACTCGGCCTGCGCCACCAGCGCCACCGCCGTCGCCATGGCCGCCGCCGCGCTGGTCGCCAGGGAGTGTGACATGGCCCTGGCGGGCGGGGTCAGCGTGCTGTCGTCGCCGACGACGTACGCGGGTCTGAGCAGGGCGGGCATGTTGAGTGCCACGGGCGGGTGTCGTGCGTTTCATGATGACGCCGATGGCTATGTGCGCGGCGAGGCGGCGGGGGTGGTGGTGTTGAAGCGGTTGGAGGACGCGGTGCAAGGGAATGATCGCGTGTTGGCTGTGGTGAGGGGCGCGGTCAGGGCGTATGGCGTCGGGGCCGCGTCCATGACGAGGCCGTTTGCGCCCGCGCAGGAGGTCGCGTATGGGAGGGTGCTGAGGATGGCGGGCATGGAGGCCGAGGAGCTGGCGTTTGTCGAGATGCATGGCACGGGCACGCAGGCCGGGGATGTGGAGGAGATGAAGTCGGTTATTGGGGGGTTGGTGGGGAAGAGGGGGAGGGATAACCCGTTGACTGTGGGCGCTGTGAAGGCCGCGGTTGGGCATGGCGAGGGGGTGAGTTACTTGCGTCTTTGCCCTGGGTGGAGTTGATGGGAAGGGGAGGCTGTGAGTTGTGGATGGGTTGCTGACTTTGAGGTGGTTGCAGGCTGCCGGCATCACTTCCCTTATTAAAGTGATCATGATGCTACGTGACCGCCAGATCCCTCCGCAGCCCGGCTGGCCGTTCAAACTGAACCACAAGTTCCCCGACCTGGCGAAGGCTAACATTAGGATCCCGACCAAGCCCACCGCGCTTGTCCCGAGTCCGAAGAGTGGTGGGAAGGTCAAGCTTGTTGTTAACAGCTTCGATGCTTCGGTAAGTTATCTGGCTCTGTTTTCCTTCCTTTTCTTGCCGTGAAGCTTACTGTGTGGAATCCTAGGGCGGCAATGTCTCGATCGCCCTCGAAGAAGCACCCAAGCAGCCCCTCAAAACAGCCGACAGCCGGGTCTGGCATGTTGTGGCCGTGTCTGCCCGGACGCCCGCCTCGCTCCACCAGAACTGTGAAAGGCTGCTCGACTTCCTCGAGCGCCACCCGGAGACGAAGCTTGCAGATCTCGCCTACACGACGACCGCCAGGCGGATGCACGAGCCACTGCGGCGTGCCTACGTTGGGGACACCGTCTCCGCCATCGTCCGCCAGCTCCGCAGCGATGTGAACAAGCCTGCTGATGCGTCGCAAATCAAGAAACCGCGCCTGCCCGGTCGGGTGTTTGCCTTCACCGGCCAGGGCTCCCAGTATACCGGCATGGGCGCTACTTTGTTCCGCACTTCGAGGCAGTTCCAAGCTACCCTTCTGTCTTACCAAGACATGGCCAGCTCCGTGGGACTGCCGCGCTTTGTTGACTTGATCTCTGGTGAAGAAGACGTTGCTGGTCAGTCGACGGTCAAGATCCAGCTAGCCATCGTCGCCTTGGAGATTGCCATGGCTAGGCTGATGGAATCCTGGGGCATCACACCTAATGCGGTCATCGGCCACAGCCTAGGCGAGTACGCGGCTCTCTGCGTCGCGGGAGTTTTATCCATCAGCGACACCCTCCTACTCGTCGGCAAGCGGGCAGCGCTTATGGAGAAGCACCTGGTTGCCGACTCGTATGCCATGCTTGCTGTTAGCACAACCGAGGAGGCGCTGGCTGAGTCTATCGACAAGCTTGGGTTGGGTTTCTGCGCGGTTGCGTGCGCCAATGCGCCGTCTCTGACCGTGGCTAGTGGCACCGTTGCCGATATTGATGCGCTGAAGAGTGCTTTGGAAGCGGACGGCCAGCGGGCGACTCTGTTGCGGGTGCCTTATGGCTTTCACTCAAGTCAAGTTGAGCCTGTGCTTGACGAATATCTGCAGGTTGCCCGAGGGGTGCCTTTTGCCGAGCCCAACATTCCCGTCGTGTCTACCCTTACCGGCCGAGTTGAGCGCGAGGCTGCGTCCTTCTCCCCTGAGTATCTCGTACGGCAGGCACGAGAGAAGGTCAACTTTACCGGAGCCATTGAAGCCGGTGTTGAGGCTGGTCTCTTCAACGATCAATCGTTGTGGTTGGAAATGGGACCTGATCCTGTTTGCCTTGGGCTCATCCGTCGCTGCCTCGATAAGCCGTCCAGCTTGGTGCCGTCTGTGAAGCAGGGCAAGGATAACTGGGCTACGATCTCAGACCTTCTTAAACGGGCCTACGAGTCTGGCATCGACGTCGACTGGCCTGAGTTCCACAAACCTTTCACGGGTTCGCTCACGCTTATCGACCTACCAACATACGCGTTCGACTCGAGGGATTTCTGGACACCGTACATGACGCAAGTCCCTTCTGCAGTAACAGCTATCGTAAACAGCACTCCCGGTTTCCCGACAACTACCCTCCAACGCGTCGAGAGTGAGAAGACTGAGGGCACTGCCAAGATTGTAACTTTCACCTCGACTCTCTCTGACGAACGTCTGCTCGAGGCTATCAGGGGCCACGTGGTGGGTGGATTTGAGGTCTGTCCCCTGGCTATCTACCAAGACATTGCTCTCACCGCGGGGAAATATCTCTTCCACCACACATACGGTAACGCTTCCACGTTGCCAGCTATGTCCATCAGGCAGGTGGAACTGGGCCAAGGGCTAATAATCGATCCCGAAACGGTTTCAAGCACCGTACTGTACGTGACGGGGTCTTATAAGATTGCCGATTTGGCCGTCGATATCGAGTTTAGTTCCAAGCGCGCTGGCCAGCTGACGCAGCACGGCAAGTGTCAAGTCGCGTTTGACACGACGGCTCTATGGCAAACAACACTTCCACAAACACTCTACCTCGTCAAATCAAGGCTTGACTTGCTCCGGAAGCAAGCTGAATTTGGCAATGGGCGCCACCTTCTCAAACGAGAGGCCTACGAACTCTTTTCGGGCGTGGTATCCTATGCAGCTCCGTACCAGGCTATTCAGGATGTCATCCTAGGAGCCGACTACGCGGATGCCGTCGGCACAGTCAAACTGGCCGATGTGTCTGCCCGCGGAACCTTCCACTTTAGCCCCTACTGGCTTGACGCCGTCACCCACCTCGCGGGGTTTGTGCTCAACTGCGGCCTTCGGTATCCCGAGGACATAGCTTGTCTCGCCGTTGGGTTCGACGCCTGGCATTCCCTGAGGGAGCTTCGGGCCGGGGAGACGTACACGGTCTATACCTGCCTCCAGGATGTTGCAGATGAGGGGCATATGGTGCGTGGTGACTGTTATGTCTTTGCCGGCGCCGACCTGGTGCAGGCCACGCTCGGCATAAAGTTCCTACGTCTGAAGAAGGTCGCCTTGAACATGATCCTCGGTGGTGGCCGGGCGAGCGTGGTGGGCCGCAGTGAGATGCCGCAGACCAGGTCTTCCACTACCGACACGGGCATTTCCCCTAAAGTAGCGTTACCGGCGAAACCTACAGGGTCCGGTAACACCCCCAACGAGATGATTAAAACCCTACTGGCCATCATAATCAGCGAGAGCGGCTGCAATCCCGACGAAGTCAGCGACGAGAGCCACTACTCCGACCTTGGTGTCGACTCGGTCATGGCCATCAACATCCTCGCCCAACTCAGCAAAGAGCTCGACTTGCACTCCTCGCAGCTTTCTTTCTCGAAAAC